TGTAATTACATTGTAGCAATATTGTAGCAATCTTGTAAACATATTTAGCAAAAATCGAAGGTTTCAGCAAAGTAAATAGAAATAAATTTTTACAAGCTATGGTTATGGCTTTAGCATGAGTTTGTTATTTATATCACTAGTATGTATATATCTTGGTTAGATGTAGTGTTTCTTGTAGAGTTATAGATATCAAAACATAACTTCCGCAATATATTCAGAATTTTTATATCTCTAGTTTTATAATTGTTTTTAATTGGTTTAAAAATAAAGATGGTCAATAAAAAATTTTTCAAATAGGCAAGGAATATTATTGTCTTATAAATTTGATCTTAAACAAGATTTAAAGACAATATTCACATAGAACCAAAATAATTTATTTTCTCAAAGAATAGAGATAGTTCTTTTATATTATCTAATTATGAAAAAATGTTTAAAAAATTCTTTTATTCTCTATTATATATTTAATTATCATATTTATATGATAAATACATAACCAGAATTTACTTTTTAATTCTATAATTTTACAATAAGGTTATCACTAGTGATGGGCGTACACAATAATCATTTTTATTTAATGTCGCAGCTGATGCTGAAATTCTGGGGTCTTTATTTAGAACTATAAAACCTATCTATACACTTCAATTATAAACCCTACCCCTAAATCTACTCAAACTATTATGAAGACTAAAAAAACGCACCTCAAAAAATTTTAAAAATTTGATAATAAAATAATCAAATCAAAATTTCAAATCAAAATTTCAACATCAGTTGCGACAATAATTTATTTTTTAATTTTATCTCAAATATATAGAATTTTCAAGTTTTAACCTAAACGTCAAAAATATAAATAGTTTAAGCTATAATGTAGCTAGCTTATATTTTTATCAAGTTTCATCATGAGTATTCTCGGCATCTCTAGTGCAAATGGGTCAGTGTTGGTAACTTGTTAAAAGTACTAATTTTTGCAGAAGCTTAGTAACTTACATAAATGATTGGAAATCTGATATGAGGGTTCAAAATTCAAATGCACTAATACAGTAGCTAAAAATAGCTTTTTAGTAAAGTGAAACCTCTACCTACTGATGCGAAGTCTGTGCATTTGAATTTGATTATTAATCTAGTGACTTTATCTACTGTAAACTGCCGTATACAAGACCCCTTCAAATACTGAAACATCAGACCCTTATGTACTATACTCGAGTTTACAACATGGTATAAAGCTTTAGTAAGATGTAAAAGACCCTGGGTATACAAATAGTAAAACCTAATAAAAAAAAATAAACCCCAATTATCAGACCCACGGATCTACTTATAGGTTTTAAAATTGGTAAAATGAATTAGACCTGGGTCTTGTATACGGCAGTTTACGGTAATTCACGATTTCATTCGATCTCATGATTCCACAATCCCATGATTGACTTTCGAACAATAAAGCATAAAAATATAAAAACTATCGAAGTTAAATTAGCCCAAGTTGTTGAATGATGATTTCCCTTGACGTAACATCGCATTTAATAGAACATATATTATATTTGTTAAGAACAATACACTATATCGTATTATTCATTCTTGATTTAAAATCATATTTCTTTGATTAAAGGACAATACTTCACGAATATATAAAGACGCAAAAAAATAGTAACATACAGCAATATCAATTTTTTTGTTTACCTCAAAAAAAAAAAAAAAAAATGGTACATACTCAGAAAATTGTTCTTTTTTACAAATAATTTCTATCGGTTTTAAACTGTTTTAGCCCTGGCTTGTCCTAAATTTTTTTTTTTTAGCCTACTTTAAATGTTACAGTATCCGATGAATGTCTGAACATTTTTCAAAGTTTAAAGTTACATAAGATGTACAAATATATTTTGTACAAATTTTCTGAGGATAAAAAATATTTCGTTATTGACAAGGCAGTGGAAACGACAGAGTCCGACGAAGATGACGGAACTAGTTATAAAGAATCTTATGAGAAATTTTATGCCGAAATTACTGGAAAAAATGTTCCTTATTTCGCTATTTATGATTTTGATTATGAAAAACTTGGTGAAGGTCTTCGAAATAAAATCATATTTATTTCTTGGTACAGTACATTACTTAAAAGAGTCGTTTAATACTACATAATATTTATTGTTTAATAAATTAATACACGAATTATATTTGCAGGATTCCTACTAATGCCGATATCCAAGATAAAGTCCTATCTGCTGCAAGTAAACAAGTATTAGGAACAAAACTTGATGTTTCATTTCAAATTGAAGGCACAGAAGCCAATGACATTAAGTTTGAAGCGGTCCTTGATAAAATTCGCAGGCTTAAATGATTAAAAATAAAATAACGCAATTATTTGTTAGGCGTTTACATCGATGTGGGTTTTAGCAATATTAATTCATGAAAAAAAAACTTCATCTGAAGTACTTTAGAATATTATCATTTTATTATAACAAGTTCATTCGCAAGAGATTAGCTCGATATTATGTTTCAACGATCTAACTGATCTTGATTAATCTTTAAGAAATTTACTCTCCAATTCAAAACTTCAATAAAGCCTAATTGCGGAAAAACTGACTGGCTTGTGCCTAATCAGCATTATTGTCAGAGCTACTCGTAAAACGACCAATAAAATTTCTTAAGCTTTGAAAATATATTTTCGTTTACGAAGAATGCTTTGCAAAACAATGCTTCCGTTAATAAACAATTAATAAAAAGTAAAAGAATTGCATATTTTAGTCATATTAAATCCATAATTTACTGACGTTATATCAAAATTAATTTGATTGCAACACTTTATACAAGAACAATAATCATGATCTTGATTTGTTAATAACGACCACCGCAGAGAATTATAGTAGTTCTGGTCTTAATTAATGATGCCTGATAAAACTATTTTTTTACAACGACGATAGTTGGCAAAAGAGGTGGTTTTAAAGAATGATTATAATTAATAAGAAAAATGGTATTAATTTTTATTTTATTTTAGGGTTATTAATATGTCACAAGAATATTAAAGGCATTAGATTCTAATCGTTATTCAGCTTACAACCAAAACACACCAGGGAAGTATCATTTATATATATAATTTTTATACTTTATTGGTTTGACACTTTCCCCAGTGGTTAATAACTCTATCTGTTGGTTCTTCACTTCTCTAGTGGTTACTAACTCCTTCCGATGGTTATAACCAACCTTTACGGTTTGTAACCAACGGTTAATCCGAATTTCGAACACCACAGCCGATGTGGCTTAAAAACTCCGAAATAATCCAACTTTTCATATCAAGCATGACAAAGTACGTGCGTACAGTACATATTAGTTTAGTAAGATCCTATATAGTATAGTATAAGGATTAGAGTTATCTTTATTAATTCGAAGAGAATTTATATGTGTACAACCTTTTTACTATCTTTAAACCTCAATACTGTATATATTCTAAGACCATAATCCGTTGGTTATTTCATACATGCGGGATACCTAGGATGTGTTTTTTTAAACGGTCCAACACTTAATCCGAATTAATTCATCAATCGTCAGGAGTTTTTGCCAAGAGCTTTATTAGATGAAACTTTTTGTCGGTGGATTTGTGAAACAAGTTAACTACTTATATCCACCCGGTAGTCATCTGTTATAAATTGCTACATCGTACGTAAGTATTACCGTTACAGTATGATGATTGTGCATTTCGGAAAATTAAAAGACTATTCTAGAAATCTATTCTACAGGTCATGGAAGTTTAACACAGAATCTTCGAATCTGTAGTAATTAAATAAGGAATGATATACACGGATAGAATATTCCATATTGAAATACAGATTCTACATATAAATTTTACCGAATTCGAATTCGAAAAGACATTTTGTTCGCAATCAAGAAAACATTAATTTTACTAACAACATATTTTAATTATCTGTATAATGCATAATGGAGAAAGCTCGTCGAATATTAATAATAATGTATCTATGGAATGGAGTGTAGGCTTTTCTCAAGATCAAATTAATATAAATTTGCCAAACATTTATAATAATCCATCAATAGAATGGTCCGCTGACCTTACTCAAGATCAAACTAATTATAGTCTACCTACAGAATGGTCTATGAATTTGACTCAAGATCAAGCTACTATAAGTTTGCCAAACGTTTATAATAACCCACTTATAGAATGGTCCGTAGGCTTTAGTCAAAATCAAACCAATAATAATCTACCTATAGAATGGTTTACGAACTTTACAAATAACAATCATTCTCTGGAATGGAATGCAGGTCTTCCTCAATCTCAAACTAATACAAATTTGTTAAATGTTCATAATAATTCGATTATAGAATTGTCCGCAGGCACTACTCGAAACGATGAGGATCAAACTAATCATAATCTATCTATGGA